GGATTGATCTTTTGGGAGTGGCAATTGATGATGACTTGAACTTTACTAAGCATATCAATAATGTCTGTACTAAGGGGGCAAGGAAAGTAGGAGTACTTATGAGGTTTAGGAATTTAATGCCTACTGAAGCTAAATTAAGAATTTTTAAAGCTTTTATTTTACCCCAAGTTACATATTGTCATATAGTATGGCACCATTGTCGCTCGTCAGACGAGAGAAAGCTTGAAAGGCTGCAGGAGCGTGCAATGAGGGCTATTTACTGTGACAGGGCTAGCACTTATGAAGCACTTCTAGATAAAGCAAGACTTCCAACGTTATGTAATCGCAGACTCCAGGACATGGCTATATTTATGTATAAAGTTAAGACTAATTTAGTCCCACCATATATTTCTGAACTTTTTAGTTGCGGCATAAGTAGGTACAATCTTAGGAATGCAGACGATTTCTCCTTACCAAGATACAACACGGTTACATACGGAAGACATAGCTTAAGGTACATGGGACCTTATATTTGGTCGAAGCTCCACAAATCAATCAAAATGGCTGACTCTCTAACTGCATTTAAAAATCAAGTCAGAGTCCTTGACCTATCAAATGTTATATCGAAAAATAATTGTGAAAATTGTGAGTTATGTAAAACTTAATTTTATCAATTTTATATTGTTTGCATATAGTTTTTCTTCTTATTTTTATTATAATTATTAGTTTAGTCTAAGTAGTAGGTGTCCCCAGTTAGTTTTTACTTGTAAAAACTAGAACGATTGACACGTTAATAAAGTTATTCTTTCATTCACTTCAAAAAAGGAATGATTGATTTGCGTCGATTGAGAGGGCGCGGTCTTTATCGCATCATTACCCAGTTGTAGTTAATAATCTGATTGTTGTGGTAATAGATTAAAAACGAACAAAAGACAAATGCTATTTATGTCTCCTACCTTTGGAAATAGTTACTATGCTTCGGAATAGAGTTAATTTGTAACTGGGATAGTAAGTCAATGTGGAAAGACAGGGAATATTGAAGGATCGAACTAAAGTGGGACAGGCTCATTCATGAAGCATCCGAAATTGATTGGGCAATAATCACAAGACTATCAGCTGACTTTTATAACAATAGAATGTTCTTTGCGCAAGAGTCACAAGTTTTGATTGAAAACTAGTAGGACTTCAGCGATCAGTATAACGCGTGGCATTTTCTGTGCGTTCGTCTCACTTGTCTTCATTTTGTGTGCCCAAAATTTATCCCGACATAAACTCTTGTCCTGTTCTATTCATTACAATCCTATCGCAAACAAAGCTCTGGTGTTGACCTAGAAATCGGTCAAAATATCTTCATTAACAAAATTTCAAACTTTTATACTTTTCCAACCAGGGACGAGACATTATCCTTTATTAGATTGCAGTGCATCCACTTCTTACCTAAATCACGTTTACATGTACGGGGAAGATTTTTCTTAGCCAATGCTTTGATAGTAATGTTATGTCTGGCTTCCAAAATACTAAAACTTTTTTTTTTGTTGACTAAAATTTTGAGCCGCAGTCCCAAATTTAGTTAAAAGTGCCATTTTTTCAATTACAGTAAAAAGTTCGAGAAAAACGTAACACTTACGGACCAATATTTCATGTAAAGTGAAGGAAAATTTTGGTACCGTTAAGCTCGTATGAACTGCATCTAGCTAGCAAGGACTCACCTGGGCTTCCCACACCACCACTACTGCTACCACCACTACTGCTACCACCACTACTGCTACCACCACTACTGCCACCACCACAACAACCACCACTAGTAACGCCACCAGAAGGAACAGGCCACCAAGTTGGGTTTGCACCAACGTTTGCAGAGAAAAGTAACACAAGAAATAACCCGAGGAAGGTTGCTGGTTTCATCATGCTAGGAACATTGAAAATTCAGGGTCCTTTTTTACTGACCAACTGCTGGCTTATAATGGCCTTAGTGTTGCTTGTGACCCAAGAAGAAAATCAAAGTTAAGATGAAATCAGATCTCTTTAACTACTCTGCAAAAGCAGATTGGTGGCTTTGTATTTTCGCAAATATTGGAGTGTCATTCTTAATCAAGGAAATGCTTTTGGCTGTTTTTTTGTTTGTTTGTTTGTTTTACATAGTAAATGCCAAAAAATGTCAAATTCTGCTTAAAAGAAGCTGAAACGGCTATCTCTACATGTTTGACCATATATAGAAATTTAGGGGGGCACTTTGGCTCCTAACCAGTCTGTTATTTTGTACCACGTTACGCAAATGGCCCACTCAGAGTTGAGTGCAGGTGACACACCCCCAAAACTTAAAATGTAACGCACAAGCTACAGGCCTCGGTTGTTCGAAGGGTGAATAACACTATCCACTGGATAAATTCCCATTCGTTGGATAATGAAGTAAATTTTTTTATCATTTATCCGTAGTATAGCTATTTTTCTCTGGAATATTCATTTATCCATTTATCCATTTTTCAAGTGTCATACCGTCACTCATTAGACTAAAAAAATGACGTACACCTTTATTTTTCATAGGATGCCACACACCGCGGTTCCTTATTAGACTTCTTCCGCCGCCCATTAAATGATCGACTTAAATCTCGAAGAAATTCGAACAAGGCTGCCCTTATTTATTCCGTGCGAAATCAAAGTTAGAAATTTGTACGATTAATTCGGAACGAGGGAACTATGCAAAAGAAAAAGAAAAGTGAACCTAAGAAGCACTAATTAAAATGTCATGTTTTGTCAATGATCTCCACTGAGGTATTTTTTAAAATGAAAACTTAATTAAGCTTTTAGTAGTTTTGGTCATTTCCTGAGTCGTGCCATAAAATCAACAAGCTTGTCGTGTCATGCAAGAAAATAGTATGGTTTTGTATTCTTTTCTGTAATCAAATACCTGATGAAATTTGATGACCAAATAAGCATGTATTTCTCCCGGTTCTTATTCACATTTCTTTTAACTCTGTGCCGTCGATGAAATGACTACATCTTGAGGCAACTCTATTAACTTTGCACACAGTAAACGTGTAAAATGTAACTGTCCTAAAACTTCCCGCTCTTTCTATGCGTTGTGCTCAGTTTTAAAACACCTTTTTATTGAATCGCCATGTCTTCCGGACCCTAATGTTTATCTTATCACGGTAAAATAATAGCCAGACTGCGCTTTAGCTAAGTAGTAATGCTCTGAGTAATTTGGTGCGAAATCAACTGAAAGTTACACATTTGCTCACGGCATGGCGAAATGTCGATGTTTCCGATGTTCAAATATGCAGCAGAGCTAGTTAATAAAAAAAAAGTGACTAAAACTTGAAGCTACCGGAATGGCGCTGAGCTAAGCGTGACGATAAGTTTTCGCGCACAAACTGAACTCTCGCGGAAAGAACAACAATAATGGGGGAAACTAGCAAACTAAACTAAAAACACTAGACTTTCCCATAACGTAAACTAAGTTTTAAAGGTATGGGAAATTTGGTCCGAATTCAAATTTGCATACGTCATGGCAAAATTTTGATCTTACTGATGTTCAAATGTGTGGCAGACGCCTAAATGCGATTCCGTGGGATGCGCAGTTACAGAAAACTATCATGACTAGTTGGTTAGATCAGCCGAAGACATCACTGTAGAAAATTTTACTGTTGACAAAACTGTGACCATGTTTGTATTTGGGAATAACGAGGAGTGGCAGCTCAAAAACCTTTGAACTTTTCTGAAAAAAACTGGAATTCGACCTACTGATCTCATGTTTCGCATCGCTTAATCCCTTCAGTAAAAAACAATTTCCTTTTTCGCCGACAACGACCTCTCCGATCTTTGAAGACGTTTATTCTCAACCGCAGTAATTTTGATGGAGCCGTAAATGGGCGAAAGCTCGGAAAACTAAACTTTCCAGAAACTTCTGGACAGTTTAGTAGTGACTCCGAAGCCCCCCCTTATCATCGGTAATATCGTTTTATTAATATGCCATGTCATATCAACGTGGGGGAGAATGAGCAGGAGACAACTGCGCTAATTAGTGTGTGAACAGGAGACAATCGCGTTAATCAGTGGGATCATGGCGTTCATTAGAATTCTTTGCACTACGAGATCCTTTTGTGCTATTTGCGATCGACCATTTTTGTATATATTAGTTATAGTTTAGTATTCTGTTCGTATTAAGTTTTCTTCATTCCTCGGAGAGTGTGGTTCGCTTAAGGTTTGGTCTTGTAATCGAGTGAAATAGCACAAAAGGATCACGTAGTTCAAAACAATTCTAATGAACGCTATGATCCCACTGATTAACGCGATTGTCGATGACCTGATGACATCTCGCCTAAACTTCTCAAATTGGCAGGAAAGGCTATTGTACTAGCGTTAGTCAACCTTTATAATTACAGCATTGAACAAAGAATTGTCTTTTCCTTATGGAAGACTGCCCGATTAACTCCGCTTTTCAAAAAGGATGATGAAACAGACTGCGGAAATTATCGACCC